TCTAATTCATTTCGAATTGAATGATTGAATAAATAATTTTTATGAATTTTTTTGAACTTGGCAGACTTTTTTTGTGCTTCTTTTATGAACCAGAAGTGGTAAATTTTTAACAATTCAATGTTATCTGCATAGTAAATAAAATTCAGGAAAGATTTAATCACAATATTATGGCACGGGCCTAAGTTGGTTCTACTAAAAGTAGCAAGTGATGCTGAAATGGTCTTGTTTTATATTATTTTTAGGGGCTAAAGCATGGGGGTTTTGGGTGATAAACGAAAAATCAGATGTATGCTACAAAAAAAATTTGTACTGAAAACCCCCTAAATCTAAAATAATGGCTACGCCACTGCTGCCACTACATACGAAATACTTAATACGAATAACTTCACTAGGTCTGTGAGCTTATCAAACTTTCGTTTGATGGAGCAGAAAATATGTATTCACTGAAAATACCACTTTAAAATGTGTACATATGTACATTCCTGATAAGAATTGGTTTCACAATTTCGTGGAAAATTATTTTCATGCATTCATCATCATCATGCATTTCATTCCAATTTAGAAGTTTATATTTTTTTCAGCCAACCAAACCATTTCAAATAAATTAAATGTTTTCAAAGAATTAACCAATATGTCACTATAAGTAAGTAAATAATTTTAATGTGGTGCATTGTCTAAAAATATTATAAACACAAAAATGTACAAGCCATAAAAAGTAGATTAAATCTATCTAAACTTTATCGCGAGTATAAAGAAATGTTTCGGGTACACAAATTAATTTATTTACTTAAAAAAAGGAAAACATATTTACAGTTCCTTTAGAGGTTAGGTACCTAAGTACCTTAAGAGGTTATTAACCAAAGGAATGAGCCTTTCCAAATAATTATCTATAAATCTTAAGCCAATTCTCACGACATTTTGGACAGATTTGCATGTTTGCTATCCCAAATTTACGCCCCAGTACAAAGTTTCAATTAAGTTGGCTGGCAAAATCGAATAAATTATATACATACAGATGCATAATAAAGTGAAAAAAGGAATAAATTCGGGGAGAACGTTAGCCCGTGGCCACAGTTTGTAGATTGTAGAGGTCAAGGCTATAATGCTTTCTATATGTATGGGGCGTTCGTGAGGGTCTGATACGAATAAGCGACGGAAAAAGTGCAAATAAATTTGTGACGCATTTTTATTTTGTTATTGCAAATGATATAAATACACCGAGCGGCAGTGCACACAGCTGAACAAAAGCACAGACACATGTGTGCCCCACTCAAACGAAATGAAAAACGCTAAATGTGAACGAGAAAAAGAGAAGCCGACGTAAGAGCACAACGAACTTTTGCGAAATGTGAAATTATAAAACAAAGCGCGCGGCGTAGGCAACAACAATAACAACAATAAAACAGAGGCATTAAAACATCTACAATACAGCTGCAGCAAATCCAATACCAATACTAAAACCAAATTCCGACGGCAACAGGCTCAACAAATGCCAAATTAAAATGCTAAAAAAAAAAGAGCTAACAACAAAACAAGCCTCAATGTTTGCTATTGTTGTGTTGACTTGTTTTTTGTCTGTCTCTGCACTGTCTCTTTCCAACACTCCAAACCCGAATTGTTGTTGCTGCCAATTTTTGTTTGTTTTAAGCCAAGGCCAAGCTGAGGGAATTTTTCACTGCCTCTTCGCTTTTATTTTTGTACCTTTTTTATTTTCAAACACAACCCGTCGTCGGCAACTGTAAAAATTTAAATTTTGAATTGCAAATATGTACTCAAAACAAAAGCTAAAGGAAAATAAACAGCAGAGAGTGAAAAGATAAGAGAAAACGCAAAAAAAATGTTTGCCTAAACACGAAGGGGAAAGCTTGATAGTTGATTAGGATAGATTGTGGCTTTTTTAATGAGCCACCAAGTTCATTCACTTGAGGAAATCGAAAGGAACTTTTTTAATCAAATTACTTGGCCTTCAAAAAGGGGTTAATTTGTAAGAGTTAAGAGATCCCAAATGATTAATAACAAAGAAATTAGTTAAATATATTTTTGTGCAGGCTAAATTGGCACTTTTATGTATTAAAGCTATAAAATTGATGCTAAACTCAATTTCAATAATTTCCCTGTTGTTGTATGCGACATTGAATTAAAATATGGGACGTTCCATATCAACCCGGCCACCCCCCTTTTTTTTCAATTTTCTATGTGGACAGTACCACATTGATTCCAAAGCCCCTTGCTTCCAATATTTTACCTCATACCCATTTTTTCAATGTTACCACTCTTTCGCCGTATAATCGCGTTGAAAAGAAAACACAAAATCATTTTTATCCTGCGAACGGAAGAAACAATTGGCATAGTTCAAAAGCAGAAAAATATGTCTTTCCATAGCCGATTACGAGAAAAAAAATAGATTTTATTGGACCGTAGATGACCAAGCGATAGCGTTTTTAAAGTCTAAAAGTAGGATTTCGTCCAAAGGGCCAGTCTGCAAAAATACCATTATATTTTTCTCAAAAGCCCCGAGTTTTAACGGATTTCATTATTTTTCTCGTAATCGGCCATCGAAAGACAGATTTTTCTGCTTTTGAACTATGCCGATTGTGCCTTTCGTTCGCAGGTTAAAAATGATTTTGTGTTTTCTTTTCAGCGCGAATATACGGCGAAAGAGTGGTAACATTGAAAAAATGGGTATGAGGTAAAATATTGGAAGCAAGGGGCTTTGCAATCAATGTGTTACTGTCCACATACAAAAAAAATCAAAAAAGGGGGTGGCCGGGTTGATATGGAACGTCCCATATTAGATTTAAAAACCCTATACATTGCTCCATTTCTTTTATCATTTGAAATGAGGTTTTCTTTAGCTTGAATTCTTTCCTTTTATATTTATTAGTGCCAGGATCGTTTTTAATTCTTAACATTATTTCTTTATAGTCCTCTATATTTTGCTTGGATTTTTTGACCTTGAATGCATTATCCTACCTTTACAATTGTTTACAATTACAATTGTTCAATTGAATGAAAATTCCTATTGGAATTCTGATAAGAATTGACTTATTTAAAGCAAATGATTTAAACATGCAGTTTATATATTTTTCATTCTTGTTTATGAGCTAAAAAGAATGATAAAAACTGTTATTTCAAAACAAAAGTCATAGATTATTTTTGCACCATTTTAGAATCGTTTAAAATATGCCATTCGGTTATTTATAGCTTTAGTTTATGCTGCCCTAAACAAATTAACAGGTCTGGCCAACTTGAATAGATACAGACGAACACACGAATTTGTAAGGTATTCACTACATATAGAAAATGACAATTAACAATGTCGAACACGCCCACAACACAACAACAGAAACTAATTTCGTTAAATAATATTTGACGGGCTCCGTCAGCTTTTTGTGCGCAAATCGAAAGAGATTTCTTGTTTTGTCTCTTTTAACTGTTTGTTTTCTTCTATTTTTATTTTGATTTTTATTTTAGTATTTGTTTTTGCTTATAATAGATGTGATTGCTGCGGCCTTTCGCCCAGAGCTGTGGCTTTTCGCTTATTCACGCTAATGTTTTTATCTCTGTCATAATTTTTTATAAATGGTTGTTCTACCCATTATCTCTCTATTTGTTTATGTACTTGTTAATCAGGCAACACGTGAGTGTAGTGCTAGTTTGGGGTCGGTCAGTCCGTTAGTAATCCCCCAGAATTGATAACACGTTGAAGGTGTCTGAAAAGAATTGAGTGCATCGGGTCGAGAAATATTGAAATATTCTGCTCTGCGAACTGTTTTCATTCCACAAAAAAAACCGAAACGCGAATGAACTCGGAGGGGTAGATCCACTGGCGGTCTTATCTCTATAGCATATGGTTGAAATTTGAAATTCCGCCCTGAACACGAGCCGGCGAACTGCAAGAGAACTTGAGAAGTCTTATCTTCGATTTTTTTTTATAGCTTGCAGCAACTTTTAATTATTCGCAAGACAACTTTAAATCATAATTCATTAAGTTCTACCTACATTATGGTGAAAAAATATAACTAAAAGTTATACGCTTTTTGTTAATTTGCTAAAAATATTGCTAAAAAATATTACAACTCACAACTAATTCCGTAGAATTTATTTTGCTAATAGAAGTCTTATAGAAAATATAATGTTCTTTGTATTAAATACTTTGAAGCTTCAGATATAACTTAGCCCCAAAACGCTAAGCATTTTTTGTGGTTTAACATTTTTGACTCAATCCAAATTTGTGTCCAATTTCTCTTAGTTTCGCCATAAGTGAATCATTTTGGGGCATTTTGTGCTGTGCTCGGTTCATTGGAAAGTCAGTTTATTTTCGTGCACGTTCTTTAGAAAGTCGTTGAACTGTTTGCATTTCCCTCTCACCCACTCAGCCTGCCCCTCGTGTTATCTCCCTCTTTCTCCCACGAATTATTTTGTAAAAGGCAAACGGAATTTTTAAGTTTATTTGTTTTTAGCAATTTCATCATCGTGCCGTGGAATTTGTTCATATTAGAATGAGTATCTTGTCGACTTCAACTTTTAAGAGCCGTAATAAATACTGTGCAAAATGGCGGAAAAAAATGTCAAGAAGATTAAACTTTGACTTTGGCATATTTCCTGAAAATATATGTACTTGTTTAAATCTTCTCTTAATGTTTTTGAAATGGAGTAAGCTAAATTGGGAACCGTATGTTAGGCTTTAAATTCTGAATTCCCATAGTTTTCAAGGTTTTATCCCTACTCTAAATGAAACTTGCGGACTAGAAAACGGCCTTTAAAGTTTCATTCACTCTCGAAGCTTAAAGAACGAATTTGTTGTACTAATCGATCTTAAGTATTCTTTAAAGTTTTAGGTTTATTATTTTTTTTTTTAGTATAACACATAGAATTTAATACATTGATCAGTCAATTTAATGGCTATAAAATGTATAATACAAATAGGAACAAATAACATGAAAACATAACCAAATGGCGATTAACAAATTTTATAACAATATTATTTGTTATTTCAGACCTCCACCATGGAACCCAACAGACATCACGAATATCAGACACATCATCAGCCGCATCCGTCGATGCAGCACCACCCAACGCATCCACATCACCAGCAGCCGCATCACCAGCAGCCGCATCACCCACAGCAGCACCACCCACAGCAACCGATCCACCAGCATCACCCACCGCCAGCGCCTCCTCAGCAGCAGCAGCAGCAGCAACAACAGCCACCACCGCAGCAGATGCACCAACAGCAGCATCCACTTCACTATCAGCAGCAGCTGCACCACCATCCCACGAGCTCCACAACGGTGGGCAGTTCCTCCTCCTCCTCCGCCGCCAGCTATGGCAATCACCATCCTCCGCCTCCGCATCACACGGCAGCATCCCTGGCCGAGGATCAGCAGCGATCCCGGCAGGCGATGTACATGAGCAGAAGTAGTCAGCCAGGTGCCTCTGCTCCCAGTGGCAGTGGCGATCCCCATATGCAATACTACACCTCGAACCAGAATTTGGCGATGAAGAAGGTGCCCGATCCGCCGCATCCCAGTTGGAGCTACAAGAGCCAAGCTGTTCCGGCTCCAGCTTCGGCGCCCGGACTACGACAGCATGGGAATCCTGGCCTCTATGCAAGCGGTAGCACTGCCTATTGGCCGCCACCAGATGAGCAGATGCATCATCAGCAGCCGTCCAGGTATTCCTATGCGAAACCAGGAGCACCAGTTACGGGATCATCGAGAGCTCCCATTCAAGGACCCCCGCCAAACAGTCAGCGATATTATAGCGAGGATATCAAGTACTCCACGGTGCCTGCCGCCTCCAAGGTGGTCAGCTATGCACCACCAGCCAGCTCCTCGCAGCCGCAACCGCCACCCACCTCCAGTTCGTCATCCGTCCGCCACTTTGAACTCGAACATGTGGTCAATCCAAGTAATCCTAGTAACGAGCACCAGCAGCCGAGTCCTAATTATGGGAGGAAGTGTCCGCCGCACTATGAGACTCCGCCGGAGCAGAGAAGTGCCGGAGCCACGCCCACATCGTCCACATCAACGCATCACCAGAGCCTGTATATTCCCATGCCCACATTTAGTACGGAAAAGTTCCAAACGACCGTGCATAATGCGATTGAGAAGTACGTGAGGGAAACACCGGGACCGAGTTTGGAGTATCCCAGGGGAGGAGCAGCCAGTGGAGCAGCCTATGGACGCACTGGTTACAGCTACAGCCAGCAGACTCCGGTGAAGAACACGAAAGCAGCTCCTCCGCAAACTGACACCTCGAGTTATGTGAAAATGGAAGCGGAACATGCGCTAACTAGATCTTCGTTATATCACAATCCCTACAACGCAGAGAGCAGGGAAAGCAGGGATTCCTCGCCAGCCATGGCCACTGTTCCGGCGCCACATGGATATCCAACAAAATACGGAAAGCTGTTGCAGCAACAACATGCCGGGGGAGTGGGAACAACGCCCTATTCAAGTTACTACCATCAGGGAACTCCCTCGCCAGCGGCGGGAGCAGTGGCTTCTCCGACACCTGGACCACCGCCTGCCGGAGCACCGGGAATGGGAATCATGGCTACTGGAACGGCCATAAGTGCCGCACAACCTGCTCCTCCTGCGCCTCTTAGCAACAACAACAGTCAGCAACCCGCCTCATCCTCTAGCAACGCCAACTACTCCACGCTGCAGGTTTATCCCCATGGACCAGATATTTGCTATCAGCCAGGGAGTCAAACCCCGAGTCATGCCAATCCCGCCAAGAAACCACCAACTGCAACCAAACCCAACTATCGTGCTCTAATCAATGATATGCTGAAAAGAAATACGGCTAGCGAGCAAGAACTTAATCTGCAGATCATCAAGAAGACGCTTAATATGGAGCCGCCAGCGAGGAGTAAGGTTGCTGCACCCGCTCCCCTAGCAACTCCATCTCATCCTCCGCCTCCTGCGATTCATTCGCCACTGGATTTATCCATGCGAACGGTCAAGCAGACGGCGGATTCGACGGAGTACAAGTACCAGCGACCCAGCGCGGATTACAAGCTACCAAGCGGTTTGGGATTGCCTAGGTTCGACATCACACCCAATTTCTCAGCGGCTACCAGAGGAGCAGGAGGAGGAGCACCAACGAGTCCGGCGCCAACACCTGTGATACGCCAGGCTCCTCCTCCTCCACCCGCAGCTCCAGTTCCTCCAATTCCCACGGCTGCACCGGCGTTGGTGATTAAAACCCTCCAGCAGATGCGTCCCAGTGTGCTGGAAACCAATCCGTTCGCCAAGCGACAGCAGCAGTTGCCGCCGGAGACGAGTATTGTGCAGGTCAACAAGCCACCGGAACTAATGCCCACTCCATCGCCAAGTCCCCACAATAGCAGCAATCCGAACTATTTAGGCAGAAAGCGGCATTTGCAGGAATACAATCAGGCGGCGGCCAAGCAGGCGAGATTGGATGCGGAGTCCTCAGGATCAGGATCTACTCTACTTCCGGTAGCTGCTCCCACATCCGTGGTGGTGGTGGCTCCAGTGCCTGTGATTGCTGTCAATGAACAGGCGCTGGCCGCCAAGCGGGAAAGGGAAATGCAACCCGTAAGCACACCAGAATCCTCCACTTCCTCCGGCAATCCAGTACCCAAAATGGAGCCCCGGATACGCACGAAAGCGGAGCTCAAGGGCTTCACATTTACGCCACCTGTGCTGGTCACCTCCACCACGAATGCCACGAGCACAATTTCACCGCCCAGGACGCCACCCAACCAGGTGACCAATCACATACAAATCAAGCTGGAACCAGCGCCACCAAAGGCAGAGGATTTGGGTCTCGAGGAGGAACTCAGTTTGGGCAACCTGATGGACTGGGGCAGCACCTGCAATAATCTCGTCGAGCAGCTACTAAGCAAAGTACCTCCGTTACCTGTCAGCACTGGAATCAAACTAGAGCTGAGTGAAGACGATCTGCCCGTGGCTCGCATTCTCAAGAGGCAACCTTTGGCGGCGGCAGTTTTACCCACTGGAGGAGATGCCGAATCGGCCACCACTCAATTAACCACAACCACCAACGGAATCTCGTCGTCTTTGGGCAATGGCAGTGGCCAAAAGAAGCTCAGCAAAGTGGAGAGGGAGAAGAAGCGCCAGCAGCAGGAGCAACGAATTGCAGCCCGTTTGGCGCCTAAACAAGGGCAAAGTAGCTCATCGGAGAGCGACACCACGGAGCTGCACAAGCGGAACTCAGCGCGGCAGAAGAAACCGATCATGCGAAAGGGAAGAACCAGGCAGAGATCTCCGGATGCTGCGGCCAGTCTGCAGCAGAGCAGCGATGAGGAGCAGGAGAAGGTTAATCAGAGCAGTCAGACCTCCAGCGAGGAAAGTAAGGCGAAGGCACAGCAGTCTATCTCTAATAAAAAGGAAAAGGAAGTGAAAAAGGAGGTTAAGACTCTAGATAACAAGGCAAACAAAACCAGCCAAAATAAAGCCAAGGTTGAGGTTGAAAATCAGGAGAGCAGCTCCTCGGAAAGTCCCGAAGAGGAAGAGGAGGACGAAGACGAGGAGGATCAGGAGGAGGAGGAGGAGCCCGAGAAGCGAGTGGGCAGGCGTCCGGGAACCACGCTCAAGAAACGCATTGCCCACAAGCTGAACACCATGACCCGCTCCAAGCATCGCAAGGAACTCGAACTCCAGTTGGCCAATAGTAAAGTCCTTCGCAATGACAAGATTATCAGGAACTCCACCACCAAAATTAAGCGGAAGTATGTCCGCAAAGTGGTGGACAGCAAAAAGGAGATGATGGTCACGCGTTTGAGAAATAAACGCGGTTTAAACTCAGATTTGGGACCACTAAATGGTAGAAATTCCAAGCTAAAAGGCAGCAAGGTGGTCAACAACAGTAAGCCAGCAAAGACATCGCCGCAGCAACAATTGTACCTGGAGGAGTATCGCTACAAGTTGGCATTGAAAATTCCCCACCGCCTGATCTCGATAAATAAGCTAAACAAGGTGGCTGCCTCGCTGCCCGACTTGGAGCGTCGTGATCTCGGCCAGGAGCTGGCCTGCTTTAAGCGAAGCAGGCCCAAGACCAAAGCAGCTAGTAAACAGGACGCCACACCGAAATCCATCATCGATGTTCTTCACCTGAGGGTTACGAATGGGAGTACAACTGCTGGAAGTCAAAGGAAAATCTCCGTCTCCGCGCCCGCTTCCACCAATCTTCAGATTCACAGTGAAACCTCGCAAACGTCTGCCTCAACTTCACTGTACGAACTGCAACCGCAGCAGCAGCAGGAGACCACGGAAAACCCGTCCCTGGATGATCTCAGCAAGCGACACTTTAGCATCTTCGATACCAAAGTACTGCAGAGCAAAACCCGCACGGAGACCAAGTTGCAGAAGCATCGGGAGATCATTCGTGAGATTTTCGTCGGCCCAGAGCGTCCGGCATCGGCGCCACCGGAATGTGCACAAGAAGCGGAGTCGGCGGGGGATGCCATTAGTTACCAGAAGTACGAGGAGTTCCTGCAGCAAATGAACAGCATAGCCAGTGCGAATGACAGCAAACTGGCCAGGAGATCCCTCATCACGGCTCCCCAGTGTCCGCACAAGCGAAAGTATCGCTGCCGGAAGGGCAGCTCGGGGTTTGACTACATACGAAAGAAGAAGCGACCAGCCGCAGCCCAAAATCAAAATCATAATAATAATCAGAGTCAGAATCAGAGTAACAACCAAAATCAGAGCCAATCTTCCACACAACTAACGCAACATCTATTGGAACACAATCAGAGTGCGGCGGATGAGCGATTGGATGATACGGACAGCACGATTGCAGGTAGTTCCCATCTGCCGTCGAAGGTGAAAACCGAGATGGATGTTTGCCGGGAGATTCAGAAGTGGGTGCTCAACAAGGGAGTGGGTCAGAGCACCATGCACAAAGCTGCTCGTCAGGGTCTAATCGATGTGGTGGTCTACTGCCTGGATCATCTCAATATGAACCCCGATCAGAAAGATAACGCCGGCTATACTCCCCTGCACGAGGCCTGCACCCAGGGATGGCTGGAGATTGCCCGGATTCTGCTGCAATTCGGTGCGAATCATTCGGAGGCGGCTCAATCGGGAATAAGGCCATTGCATGGAGCCATCGAAAATGATCACGAGGAGGTGGTGCGCCTGTTGCTCTCCTATGGCGCCGATCCGTTGCTGGCAACGTACTCAGGTTGGTTTTTGGTCGGTTACCCTTGGAGGGTTTATACTAATCCCGTTCTTGTTGTCCAGGTCAAACCCCGCTAATGTTAGCTTCAAGCAAGTTGATGCGTGGCATTCTGCGCGCTCATCTCAGCGATGCACAAAGTGCCGCCGCTGACATCAAGCCAATGCGATTCCACGGGCCTTGGGAGATATTTGGTGAGTTTGGTGGTAGGAAACTTGCCTATCAACAGTTGGCTACTTTTCGTTATTTAAAAGGAGTTTTCCTTTGAAAATATCGATATTATCGTGTCGATATTGTGAAAATATCGAAATGATCGATAATTTTCAAGCTTTCAAAAAAGGACAATTTTTGATATATAACTTATAATGCCAAATGCTAAATAGAAAACTTTCCTATCGACAGTCCAAATTTAAAAGGAGTTTTCCTTTGACAATATCGATATTATCGTGTCGATATTGTAGAAATATCGAAAATATCGATAATTATCGAAAAATTATAAATATAATTTTCAAGCTTTTTGGGAAAAGACAATATAAAACTCATAATGCTACAAAAAAATTATAAATTTAATTTAAATTATTATTTAATTTCTTACACACTTAATTTTTACTAAAAATAACCTGTAATTTCAAAATTAAAAAGCACTTACCTCTCAGCAAAGCCTTTCTGATATATTTTTTATGAAGTTTTATATACTTATGTATAATTTAATCTCTTGCAGATGCTAAGGAGTATGGTTATGATATATTCGATAGTGTACCGAATACAGCTTGTGATATGAGCAGAGCTCTACGTAGAGAAAGGAAGGAGGCCAAGCAGCAGAGGATGAGCAAGAGCAACAGCGCCAGTAACAGCAATGGACTTTTAGCGACCAAAAAGGAGGTACTGGAGCCAGAGGATTTGGACCAGGAGAGGGTGAAAACGATCAAGCAGAATGGGGAGACAAGTGCAACAAAGACTGGATCAGCGACAACAACGATGGTTAAATTGGAACCAGGAACCGACGAGGATAGCAATAACAATAAGAACAACGACGAGCTAAATGCAAATGTTGAAAATAATTTAGTAACAAGCGTTGTGAATGTCAAGAATGAAGTGAAAAAGGAGGAGGATGCTGAAGCAGAAGCGGAAACGGAAACGGATAGGATTAGTATGAGTAGGCTAGACGACGATCAGACGGACATCGAGACAATGGATAGTGAATTGAATGGTGATATTTTTGAATTTGAAGAGGCCGATGTGCCCTTACCACCACTGTACTTGCTCAAAGACGAGGGCAGTGATAAATGGGTACTACTCAACGATTTGTGCAATTTACTTAAAGTTAAATCCAAGGATACGTTGCTCAACAAGGTAAGATATATATTCTATTTTAAATAAGATTATTAAATATTAATAAATCCCCATTCTCTTTTTTAACAGCTCTGTCCGAACAACAGCAATGCGTTGGCCAGCAGCCAGAAGCACCTGCTCCGGGAGTTCAAGATCGACGACTTCCTGGAGAGGGCCACCTGCCTGCAGCTGTTGTGCGCCGGCGAAAAACTGAACATGTTCAGCTCCTCGAAGGTTGTGCTCATCAAATACAACGACAGTGTGCGGAACTTGTTGGGCGTTAAGACCATTTTAATGAAATTTTAACCGAGATATACATAGCGATAGGACGAGGCATGATGATCCAGAAAGATACAACTTAGATAATGATGAACAGATGAACAGATGAACCTAGTACTAACTGCAAATAGAGTGTAAAGTGCAAACAAATATGGAAACACTATTAGTACGAATATAATTATAGATTTATATACTATACATATATGTATATTTTAGCTAGTAGCTAGTTTTTACTCACCCGTCTTTGTCTTTGGAAGATAAAGTCTTTTTAAAGGAAATTAAATTAGAGCTAATGCAAAGTGATACAAAGGTGCTATACACACTCAAAACGAAGAATAATGGAAATGAATGGAAATGGAAATTTTAGAGAGAGAGAAAATAGAAAAAATCTGGAATCTTTAGAGATTGGCTGCAATTCAATGCAATTCAAGTGTAGAACAAACGAAAGCGACGGTTTGAGCGGACGGAAAACGAAAGGAAAATGTATGCCAGCCAAGCAGCTAATAAATCGATATATACTTACTGATATATCTAGGGATAAAGTGTAATCTATGGTTTTTAAAAAGCAAAACAAATTAGCTAAAGTATAAACTAAATAATAATTATTGTAATAATATTAAAACAGCAACAAAGGCGTATTTATGTATTATGTATTTTTAAATGAAATTATTAACATAATATATATATATAAAATATATGTATACACAATATGATCCAACTATAATGTAAATCAATTTTCAGATAGGTTTGTAATTTTCTATGTAATGTACGTGTGTAAGTTTTGTGCAACTATAAAAGAAAACAACAAAAAAAAAAAACAAAAGAAATTTAACAAAAAACTGAATGAGAAACAAAATAAATGCAAAGTGAAATTTTGGCAATTTAAAAGAGCGTTTTTTGTTTTTGTTCAATTTTAAAATATGAAAGGGCCCACGAACTGATAAATTCGCTAACGTTTAGCTAGTTAGTTAGTACTTATAGAAAAAACACTTTCTTCACTTGCGGATGCGGTTGTCTGATACTTAGTTAAAAATTTTGGTAAAATCAATATTTTTGTTCCATAACTAAGGATTTGGACAATCTTCGCCACCAAACCAATGATTTTCTTTTTTATTTTGGTCTGTCTCGGTCTGAACGAACCCGAAATTGTCTTCTTTCGTTAATTTCTTCTTAGTAAATTCCTAAAAATCGTATAGTTTGGGGATCAAAAGACAAGAAATAGCACCTTCAAAATGCTTTAATTACCTAATCCGTTCGCCTGTAATATAGATCAAAAAAAGGGCGATTTAAAGCGAATAAGATTTTATAGCAGCCATCAAAGTAAGTTAAAAAATATTACATAGTGTTATTAATTAATCATTAAAAATAATAATAGCTACAAAGTATATTTTTTTTATTAGTGTATCTGAAAATTATTTGCTTGAACAATGGAAATTAAAATGAAATTAAATTTGAATTTTGGCAAGGCTTTTACGAAAAAAAAGAATAATATTTATTTTACTAATTTCTAAAACTAAAAATATTTTGAAAAATCTTTAGTTCAAGAAGTAGCTTATAATATCCTAAAAAAGTGTGCGTAAATCGGTTCATAACTTTTGAAGTTAATGTGACCACCACTTGAAAACCAAATCGTGGTTTAGAGAATATATATATTTTTTAGTTTCTTTATCCTTTTTGAACAATAGCTTTCAGGACAGGTCGTGACGACCGTATACAAAAGTTCTAATATCATATTTTATTACAACAAATATATGTTTTTGACCAACATTTTTTGCAAAAAGATAATATTACTTGGTCCTAGAAATGAGAAGCCCCACAGCTTGGATAAGAGCTCACCTCCTCTAAGTTTCGTTTTAAGAACCGCCAACAATTTAAATACAGGGCTTATCGATAATTTTCCGATTGCAACCGCCAGATGTCGCCAGCGAAAGCTACGGTCACCGTTTGCACGGGTGTGCGTGCATGTGAGTGCTTTCAGCTAAAAGCTTTCCGGATTTCATATGATTGCCGTCCTTGTTCTTCAAACGTTTTTTTAAAGGCCAAGAATGCTGCCTCTCTGTCCTTGGCCCCGCTCTCCGGAGATCCAACACTATCCCGACCGAGCCTGTGTGAGTGCGCGAGGGCTTTCGGTCTTCTTCTACCTACGCCAACAACTTTTTACTGTGTGTTCCCGTTCGATGTGGCCTACAGACCTAATTTTCGCGTTGTGCGCGGAATAGTTTTTCCCGAAAAAGTGAAGCCAGCGAATAAACAATAGCCAAAAGAAGCGATAGCCAGGAAAGTGAGAGTGAAAGTAAACAAAAGCGGAAGGAAGAACTCTGGCGTTAATTGTGTGTGTATATTTAATATTTCCGATGCGTCCATAACGGGAGTGTGTTTTACTTCCCCTTTCATCTGCTCATCGCGCTCCTCGTCTGCCCCCGAAACCCAAATTTCGATGTGCAATTTTGTATAAAAATTAACACAAAGTGGGAAGATAGCGTTGTGTCATAGAATTGGAGCAAAAGGCAAAAACAAGGCGAAATTAGCAGAGGCAAACGGAAAAACAACAACACAGAATGCCCAGTGGAACCCCAGTACATATGTGTATATACGCGGTGTGACCGTGCAAGTGTGTGTGCGTGTGTGTGTAGTAGGAATTGCAATTTATAGTTGTTGTTCCGAGAGCTTTCGCTTGTTGCGCGCGTGCGACGATTGTGCAAGAAGTTTAGTGTGTGTAAAATCGGGAAGAGGAAATAGCAGAGATAGAAGGAGAATAACATGGGAATAATACAAAATAAGTAAAAGAAGAAAATAAAAATAAATAAATCGCCAAATGCGTTCGGCGTCGTGTGTGTGTGCGTGTTCTGAAATATGCTGAAAAAGCTCTCGGAGAGCGAGAACGAGAGCGAGAGAGCGATCGGGAGAAACAGCAACAACAGCAGCAACAACGATCGGCGAAATGAATCACACGCAAGCTTTGTTTTGCGAATTATAAATTCGCGTTCTCCACACATGCGAATTCCCACACTGAGAGCGAGACAGAGAAAGAGGCAGAGCAGCAGCAACAACAACAACAACAGCAGCAAGACCAAGACATAATAATAGAACTTTTGCTTTCGGTTCCAACTGGTTTTTGTATACATAAAAACCGAGAGTGGGAGAGGGACGGAGAAAGAGTGAGAGTGAGAGGGCAGCTTCCAGGTCTTCTTCTTCCGCGATCTTCGTCTTGGAATTCATGGAAACCGGGCGCATGCGCAAAACAAAAAACTACAAAAGGAAAAACAACGACGTCAGCTGCATGAAAGGTAAATTCTCGATTCTCCCCACTTCTCAACTTCCTTTCGGTCCCCTCTTTCCCCAAAAACCCCCTTTTACCTTTTGTCTAGTTGGGTAAACTTTATCTTATTGTACATATTTACCACTTTAAATGAAAACGATCTTACACAGACAAAAAAACTTAATTTTTTACATTATCTGCACATAAACTGAAATATTTTCCGTAATAAATTCATAAAAATATTCCTGGCATTTCTAATAGCTTATCGATATGGTGAAAAAAATTTACCTAAAAAACTACCTGCGATAAAAAAAACCTGATTTCAACTGCAAAACATTTTCAAATGATTTCAACTCTTTGGTTCCTTTTTAGCATTTTCAATTAAAATTATCGGTTTATTTCTAAAAATTACAATATCTAAGCGATCATAAAAAATACATTTATTTTCAATGTGTAAGGCACAGGGGTTGATGAGATTGAAGAACAAAAAGTAAAGAACTTGTAAGTGAAGTTAATTAAAGTCTCGCCAGGGTTTGAAAAGTTGGTAATGTTTCCAGTTTTTTGTTTTGCCAACTGGAAAATTATTTTGAAGGGGGAATAAAAACACTTAACTGTAGAAATTTTTAATGGATTTTAGCTTTAATTATGTCTACCATTCGGATATTAACTTAAAGTTATTTTAACTAGCTTCCATTGGTGTTTTTTGTTGAGGTGCTAAAGAAAATTCATATTTTTCAATGGCCATCGCAGAAACTTAAAAAAAAACAAGAATTATACAAAAATTTTATATATCAATTGATTTTTTATAACATTTTAATCGTATTTCTGACATAATAAACAAATGTTTTATCCCTGTGCAGAAGACAAAATGATCAATAAAAACAAATTTAGTTAGTTATTTTCTTAGGACTATTTTTGTACATCTAATTCAAAATTCTAAAATCCAAAAAAATTTTATTTCCAAGAATATAAGGTCAAACCAAAACAAATCTTGAAAAAAAGTCGTGACGTTCTTCTATTTTATTTTGTGTGAAAATGTGATTATTCATTCGACTAAAAAAATACACATTCTAAAATTAACCAAAATTGGCAAAGAAATTTGTATTTTGTATTTTATATTTAGTTGGTTTTAGTAATACAATTTTATTTTAATTAAAGTTTGATTTATTCTTCTTCTTATGGTTTACTTAAATTTGTAGGTTGAAGAAAAAAATAAATATCAATCTAGAAAAGACAAGGATTCTAGTTCACTAATACAAAATGTAGGCCAAATCAATATATATTATTTAAAAATTGTTGAATGTATTTTAAGGATAAATAAGATACACACGGGAGAAGTATAATACAAAATTTGTTGGCTATAAATGTTCTTCTGCTCTTAAAAAGTAAAAATATTAAAAGAAAACGATAAATGCATTGAATTACCAATTAATGGGCTGGATAATCAAATGATACTGAAAAAAGCTTTTAAAGCTTTTTCCTTCGTAAAGAGTTGACCTTGGCCTGCTTTTGGATAACGGTTAGGCTTTCCCTTGGCCCACATTCCGGGTGACCTAACCTTTAACTTGACCTTAGATTGACCTACTCCTTTATAACCCTTGTCCTACTTTCTTTAAATTTATTTTTATTGAACAATTTTAAATTATCTTCTAAAATTACTGTCATTTAAGATCCCTTACCTTTTTCAGGTCTATAAAGCAATTTTAAACTAACTATTACTATCGTTACCTGCCACTACGAATCATCAAAAAGAAATCCCACGCATCACAACGAAACGTACAAAAAACTTAAATTAAAATAATAATAAAATGGATACCTTCAATGTACCTATGGTGGCGGAAAGCAGCAACAACAACTATACAACAGAAGCTACCAGCAATCATCTCCACCTGCAACACTTAATGCCCCATCATCACAAGGATCAAATGTTGGCCGCTGGAAGTTCTCCAATGCTTCCCTTTTATTCACACTTGCAATTGCAACAGAAGGATGTCAATGCAACAATAGGGCCTGCAGCAGCAACTGTTGCAACATCGGTTGCGACATCGGCCAGTGCCGATAACTTCAGTTCATTGCAAACGATCGATGCCAGTCAATTGGATGGCGGCATTTCCTTGAGCGGTTTGTGCGATCGCTTCTTTGTGGCCAGTCCAAATCCACATAGCAATAGCAATATGACCCTAATGGGCACTGCGACCGGAGCAGCAGCTACTACTAACAATAATAACAATAATAATACCAACAATAATAATAATATTAACAACAACAACAACAACAATGTGGAGGCTAAGGCAGTGAGGCCATCGAACGGCGGTTCGGTGATAATTGAATCTGTGACGATGCCATCGTTTGCCAATATTTTATTTCCCACCCACCACCGCACCGCCAACGAGTGCATTGATCCCGCCCTGTTGCAAAAGAATCCCCAAAACAACGGCACCAGCAGTAGCAACATTATTGTGCCGCCCGTGGAATATCATCAATTGAAACCACTTGATGTCAATTCCTCGACTTCCGTTTCCACCAGTAATTTCCTGTCCTCCACCACGGCCCAATTGTTGGACTTTGAGGTGCAGGTGGTGGGCAAGGATGATAGTCACATTAGCACCGCCACAACGGGGCCAGGATCGGTAACCGTTTCGGGATCGAGTGCAACTGCAACTGCAGTAGCAACAGCAGCAGCAGCAGCGCCAGCAACGACAACATCCATTAATAACAACACTGCCAATGCAACGAGGAGCTCATTGCACAGTATTGAGGAGTTGGCCGCCAGTTCCTGTGCCCCGAAAACAACATCGCCCAACAGCAACCACACAAGCAGTGCCAGTACAACACCGCAGCAACACAACCATCAACAGCAGCAGCAGCAACATCACATGCAAAGCGGCAATCACAGTGGCTCCAATCTCAGCAGCGACGATGAGTCCATGTCCGAGGATGAATTCGGTCTGGAAATCGACGATAATGGAGGTAAGTCAAGATTTGACATACCATATTTCTTCCAATTCCCCCACATTCTCAAGGCAAATAGGTTGGCAATATTCCGTTGTTGCTGCAAAAAGTGAAATTAATGATATGACAAAAATCAACGAAATTCTGATAAATACAAACTGAACTAAATACCAACCAAATACCGCGTACGGGATCAACAATTATGGTTAAAAACAATCCATCGTTATGAGTATTGCAGATAACAGAACCTAATCAAAAACCATTTAAAACAACGGCCTTAAAAATTATATGCAAATAGTTTTAATTTAATGATAACAAAATATAATTGATAATAATAAAATGCAAATCAATATTTACCTTTGATATTTGGAATACATTAGTATAAATGTTTGATATAAACGTGGTGCATTTTTGTGATTAACTTTTAAATATAAGCTTAAACCATATATCAATCCAATTAAAACGCAATAATTTTATCACGCATTTCAACTGACGTTTACTACATTTTTATATTTTCAATTTAAATTGAATCAGACCTTGAGATTTTCACTAACTTGTCATTACTGTCGTGCCCGCCCCTGCGGTATTCCAGCCAGTCGGCCAGACGGTCGTCTTAAATCTTAGTGTGCCAAGTGCAATGCTAAGTTTAAATATGCACGGAGCACTCTCGGTACCCCCCCTCCCCAAATCCCCTTTTCCGCTCAGTTGGCCTCGCACTTAGCTCCATGTTGTTCGGCCTGGCGTCGGATGCAGCCATAAAAATCCATTTGAAATGTCTATAAAAATGCAACTAACCTACTTTCGGGTTTTGTTTTGGGAATGCCGTAAGTTAAATGCTCTTTTAGCCGAAAAAATATTTTAATTATAACAAATTTATACATTCTATATTTTTAAATCTTTTCGAAAGGGAAATCCTATCTTTATTTTGATTTGGAAATCATGTTTTTTCATTTAAAGATTAAATACTTACTTAAAATGTACTTCAGTACATTTTTTTTAATTCTAATGATAATATAAAAAAAAAGCACAACATCATCATAATATTATTACTATTTTACTCCATTTGTTTAATTTTAATTAATTCAATGTTAAATTTAGCTTTTTTTTCTTTTGTTTATTTGTTGTATTCCTCTTTATTGATTTTGTTTAAGTTTTTAAGTTTTGTAAAATACCCTATTATTAATTTCTCCAAAGTGGCCGATGTAATAATTTATAAGACCTAGTCTTGTCGCATCGGGATAAAACAAATAAATAATTAAATTTAATTTAATTTAAAATTTATTGCAAAAAATTAAAGCTCCTAATTGTGATCTTGACCTATCGAAATAATATTCCCTCGACTCGCCGAAGAGTATGTAAAAATGCAAATGAAGAAAAAATTCGCCCGATACTTTTGTCGATGCGTGAATAGCAATTAAACGAGCAAACTGAGACACAGAAACCTGCCAAATGTTGATGATGAATGATCAAACATCGGAGACATATGTAAGGTTGTTTGTTTTGTTAGCAATATGTTTGGTTTACACGGCATTTGGCTGCATGATACTGGCTTTTTAAATTAACTTTATTGACATTCGACAATGTCAGAACGACCGAGGCATCTTCTACCCCTTTCCGAAAAGCATTTAATTTACCCACTTGCAATTGGCTGGCCTTCGAGGGAAGCCCCCAAAGTGCTGCTTAAATTTTACATCTGCTTTCATTTCATCCTTAGAAAGAGAGGCAAAATGGAGCAAGGTCACTTGGGGTATTAGAATTTGGGTCAAGCGCAAACGAATCGTTGTTGCGCTCGCTTGCGTTTTCTAATATTGGAGATTGGGCCCAAGGATGCGAGACAAAAACAAAAAGCGAAATTGCATAGAAATTTGAAGGTCATTGTGTGCATCAGCCGCAGCGCGGTCGACGTCGCAGTTGGCGCGGCGAGTCGCGTGTTCTCGTCCCCTCTCTTTCGCTCTCTATTGCACACTCTCTACAGTGAGAGAAATAAAGTTTTCACAATATCTGAGACTAAAAGACTTGTAAATATATCTCTCTCATATTGTATTTAATTACCATTAAACTAAAAAATAAATTATTTTGAAAGCGCAAATAATATATTTAAAGAATTTAAGGGCCGTTTTCTCGTCCGCCTGTTAAATTTAAAGTAGGGTTAAAACTTTGATTTCCCATACGATTTCAAGGTTTTAACCCTACTTTAAATTTAACAAACGGACGAGAAAACGGCCCTAAATATCTTAAAATCATTGCCAAAACTAATATATTTAAATACAGACATAATGTCCTAAAAATATTGACTTTAAATCTATGCTATTTTACATTTAACAAACATTACTTTTATCCATTGTATTAATTTAAAGACTATGAAAAACCAATTTCCTTCGGTTAGAATAAATGCTCAAATAATTTTGATAGGCTAAAAACTGGTTTTTCCTCCGCATTTTAAATTTAAAGTACGGATAAAACCTTGAAAACTTATGGGATTTTAGAGTTTAAAGGCTTCTCTAATTTTAACATGCGGCGAGAAAACCGTTCAAACACGGTGCACGTCTGTGAGAACTTGTGTTTGTTTTTCACCTTTCAGCATTTTTTCTAGGATTTTCTGATGTTGATTTTTAAGAAAAAAAGCGATTTTTCTAAGACTTTTTTCTACGTGCATCTGTTGTTGCGGCTACTTTTGTTGGTGGCGCGGTTCTGCCTCAGTTGGTTTTATTTGCCGACGACGCCGCCGCCGCCCGCAACGCCGGCTGACATTGACACAGATTGCACCGTACCGTACCGCACCGGCGTCGCTGCTTTTGCTTCTGTCGGCGTCGATGTCGTGCGTCTATGCTCACCTCAAAGGATTTAAATGGGTCAAAGTCGGCTAGCAGCTTGTTGCATTTTGAAAAATGCGCAAAAAGACAACGAAATAGCAGCGTCGAATTGGGGCACGACATTGACTGCATGTAGCATATAGATTATATATACATATGTAATATGCACTGGTTCTAGCGTCGAATGCATTTCAAGGTCCTTGGATTGATGCGAAGGCTGTCGCCGTTCTAGCGGGCCGTGTCCGAAGGACACTCCCGCCTCCCCCGTTGAGTCCTTGGGTGCTCAAGGTTGTTCTATATGCTAATTATGTCTGCCACGTCTGATTTAAGCTCCGGCCTTCAGTTCGTTTGGTGGCTTGACTTTGAAAAAGGATTTTGTGGAAATGGCTGGTTGTTTGGCATTGGAAAGAGTTTAAAGATTTAAAAGGGGCAATAGATTGACCTGATTTAAGGTTGTTTTGACTATGTCTTTAAGCTCCTGAAAAGGTCAGAACAAATTACAAAGAGCTGAGAATGGGTTCAAATTTAATTGAATAAGTTAAATCCGATTGAAACTAGAATATTTCAGTTTGCCTACAGTTTAATAAACATTGTGAGTAATTGATTTTGTATACATAATTATAAGTTCTTTTTAATATATTAGGTATGTTATAACTTATTCTATTAATATGTTTTACTATTGAACTGTTGTAACTCCCCAAAGAAGGTTATTGTTTTCCATTCATTCTAATTTCGTATTTTCATTCGTATTTAATGATTAAGTTGAATACAAAAGATTTATTGCATTTTAAACTGTATTGAGTAATTCCCTTAATTTATACATGGCTTAATGACCAATTGTCTGGTGCTTAAAATAATATTAAGTGCAATTAGCAAACAAATATACGAAGCAAGTTAGAAAATCCCTCACATTCTATCCTCCACATTGGTCATTCACACTTGCTTTGGATTCTAATTCTTTCTCACGATTTGCCATTGGCAAGCCAAACCGCAAATTGGTAATTGAACCTAAACTAAATACACCGATATCCAAACAATAAGGCTTAGTCAAGCGATCAGAAAACAGAAATCTTGTAAATGCAATCAAGGATAGAACATTGAAAAATATCAAGTTTAGTTTTGTAGAGCCGAGCTTGCCCTTAAGAACAAAAATAAAACAAAACCCAAGTCGAGGCATTCAATTGTAACAACTGAACAATAATAATGATAATGCAAGCAATTAGAACAGGTAATCGAAGGGGGAGGTTCCAAGGGGCTGGGCACTTAGTTTTGTTTGCAAATTGTTTAACTAAGTGCATAGTAATTGGCTTATTAGTCGGGTTTCCGAGGAATGTTTTTTCTTTGAATGAAACCTCAGTTTGGCTGTGAAATTGTTGTACTAGTAATTAATGTTTATAGTTTAAAGATTCGTTGAACCCTTCAGGGTCTATATTGTAAACTGGGAATCGTATGATTCATATGGACTGAAATTTTTAACTTAACTTTTTCAAGGCGTGAAATTAATTTAAAGTTAGGTAGGGTACATATACAAATTATTTAAGATTTTTTTTAGATCACAATCTAAGTATAATAAATAAATTTAAAATTTAAAAAACCGATTATAAAATACATAAAATTAACTGATGACTATTAGCAACAGTTAATTTCTTGGATATTTGTTATGGGATCCTTATGTGGGTTTCTTAGACTACACAGGCCAACAGTGTTTTTGGTGCAGCCTTATGGGCATTAAATTGTGTTAATATAGACGGATATAAGCATATCTGCATACTTAGTTTTCGAGTTTAACGGGTGGTATTTGTGCAATCTCGGTTTGAAAAAAGTAGCAACATTTTATATTTTCATTTAAGATATCTTCGAGGGTCTGTGCTCAGTTGTAATAAAACCTATGCCAAAAAATTGCTTAGATGCCCTTCTACATAATTGCATTTAAGGTTCCATCATTATTTGAGTTAATAAAAGCCTATGAGCCATTGAAGTAATTTGTTCACCTCTATTCACAACCAACTTGATGCGGTGAACAGGTTTAAAAAAATACAAGTAAAAATATGAGCCCTAAAATATTTGACAGTCATCTAGAGGCGTCTTTTCCCGAATTTTTGAGATAAATTTCACTATTGTACTTCGAAGAATGAAATTTATAGAATTTTTTCCGTAAGAATGTGAAAAGTAACAAGTATTTTAAAGTCACTGTTACGTAACGAG